AGCTCAGATCACATAACGTGAAAACACGGACTTATTGGCTAAAGTCTATAGTAGGGGACACGATTATGAGGTTTGGATGAGGAACTCAGTAAGCGGTCAGGTGAAAAATGGCACCATGGAAATGTTACAGAAGAAAAAACCTAGAAAGAGATGAAGAAGGAATAGTCAGACATGAGAATCAGAAAAGAATGGTGTCGTGGAAGCTGCAGGGGTAGATAATTTTAAGGAGGGAGTGATCAACCATGTTAGATATGGCAGAGACAAGGTCGGAGAAGCATCCCCTAGAGTTGTCAATATGGAGGTCATCAGGGCCTTTAGCAAGAACAGTTTTGGTGATCAGTTGGGACAGGAGCTAAAGTGCCATGAGTTGAAAAGTGAAGGGGAGAAAGTAGAGACAATAAAAACTGGCTTGGTGATGATGTGAGGGGGATGTTTGTAACCCCCATCCCTTCACACTGGAACCTGTAGTGAGTGTGGTTCTGTGGTTTTGCTCCTGCAGTGTTCAGCTCTTTGGATGTAGGAGCAGAGAACTCACTTGGTTGGTTTAACCCCACTTCTGCTTCACTGAGAAAATTATCCAAAATGAACTCCTTTCCCTTCAGATCCCCTCAAATTTGCTTTTTTTTTTCCACATTGCTGCGGTGTCAGTGGAACGTGAGCCCCTTTGCTGAGACTTTCAACTTTGTTTTTCCCTTTCACTCCTATAATTTTGGTCTCTCCTTATGCTTGTCTCCTTAGCTGGCAAACATGTTCCGGGGCCCCCCAGAACCTACCCTTCTCAGGCTGTAACTGCTTTTTTACTTCCACCTGTCAAGAGGTTATTTTGGTCTGTGATGTGGAGCAGAACCAGACCCGTGGCTGTTGTGAACAGCAGAGGTCAGTCTCTAACAGCCAGCTAATCTGTGCAGCCTCGTGGGAATCGAGCGTGGCCTCAGACCTTGCGTTCTCCTCGGGCTACACCTGTAGTGATGCTTCATCTGACTACTCGGAGCTGTGTTGTTTGAGCTTTGTACATCCAGGAGCTGCTGCAGTCCCCACTACATCAGCTGCTTTTCCTGACCACACTGTGGCTTTTGGCCCTTTAGGTTCCACAGCCCCTGTGGCTTATTATCCGCTTGCTCCCATCTGTCTGCCTGATTCAACAGTGCCGGTGGAAGGAGCATATTTTGCAGGTACCAGATTCAGAGCTGGGGCTGCTGCTGGCAACATTCCTCCTCCACCCCCAGGATGCCTTCCCAGTGCTGCTCAGACTTCTTCATGGTGGCATAAATGGTGGCTCCAGCATCTGGTGAGGAACCAGTCCACTGCTATGCCAGGAAAGACAGCACAGATCATATGAACCTCATGTTTCACTTTAGACACATGTTGGGTGTCTTTCTGGTGCTCAAACTTTTGGGCACTTTTCAGATTCAGTCAGAGAGCACTTAATGGTAGCGGTACCTCTGTGAAGCATTTTGATGTAGAGGAGGTAGCCATTCATAAAAAAACGTGGGTAGAGCAGCCCTAAGGATCTTCCTTACATTCCTCTGGAGTTATACGGTATCATGCTGGTCTTTGCTTTTAGTAATGATATACCAAATTAGGTTTGCAGGGAACTTTCATCTTCCTGAGAATTAAAGTTGCCAAATTACTCTGATTGGTCTTTCGTCTCCTTTAAGTCTTTGATTTATACTACATGTTATAAATGAAACGTGTTAGTTGTCTGACTTTGCCTTTCCATCCTTTGCTCCACATCCCACCCTCAAACCTAGTCTTCCATTCCCTCCTGCCCATCTCCATTGAATCAGTGTTGTAGAACAGAAAGCCAGTCGGGCTAACTTCCTTCTCTCTCGCACATGTCACTTGCCATCTTTTAACTGGTCTTTCACAAGGATCCTCTGAAAAACCCTCTGTGCCCCAAGCACAGACTCCATTGCTTTTACTTTTGCATCTGCCTCTTGGACCCTCCTCATATGTTGTTTCATCAGACACAGACCAAATCTAAATTTGCTTTGGTGCCAGAAGAGCTGAGGTTCGTTTGAACAAAGAATATCAATACAAACTGTACTGAAAACAACAGTTCATTTAAAATCTGAGGGGCAGTGGAGAGGATGCCTTTCAAAAGCCTAATAGCTTTCAAGTCAAATATAGGGGAGTTTTCAGATCAAAATTTCGTTCCCATTTGTTGTTAGATTGCCTGATGCTGCCACTTAGGGCTCCCAAAAATTTCTAAGCTGCATTAACGGGGTCATTATCGTAAATGCCTCACTTCCAAGTGACTTGATTCTGGTGAAATCTCATTAGGATTAAGAATGTTTGAATTGTGGGGCGCCTGGGTGGCTCAGTCGGTAGAGCATCCGACTTCGGCTCAGGTCATGATCTTGTGGTCTGTGAGTTAGAGCCCCGCGTCGGGCTCTGTGCTGACAGCTCAGAGCCTGGAGCCTGCTTCATGTTCTATGTCCCCCCTCCCTCTCTGCCCCTCCCCCACTCATGCTGTCTCTCTCTGTCTCTCAAAAATAAACATTAAAAAAAAAAAGAATGTTTGAATTGTTAATATTTTGTATTTTGTTTTCTGAGATTGGGTTTTATTTTAGCTTACAATTTCAGTTCATCTAAATTTTGTGTTCTGTACATGTGATGTTTGACTGTATCCATTATTATTATGGAAATTCTCAGTGTGGTGTGTTTTCCTTGTGGATTTTTTTATATTAAAAACGTAAGATAAAGACCGTTTTTGAAGATTTTAATAAAGTGATGACACCGCATTAAACAAAAGTTTATCTTCTCCACAGTTACTCCTCAGCCCCCATAATCCAGTTGTCATCACGATTGTCATTCCACCAAACTCCTTGCACGGGCCACCAGTGCCCTCTTTTTTTGGCAAATCCAGTGGCTTGTATACAGTCAACCTACTTTCCCGTCTTCAGCATGTGACATTGTTGCTAATACCCTCTTCCTGGAACTTTTCCCTAACACCACTCTCCTAGGTTTTCTTTGTCTGTGCTCCTCCCTCCCCTCGTCCTCCACCTCCTTCCCCACCTTCTTGCCCTGACCGTTGAACAGAGATCCTTTATGGTGCTCTGTCCTGGGTCTTCACTTACTCTGTAGTTAGTTGATCTCTGCCTGTGATACCCACTCCCATGGTTTTGCCTAACTCCTTGCTAATATGTCCAGCTCTGGTCTTTTTCTTTAGTTCTAGATCGCACTAAGAACTAAAACTAGACAAACAGCTGGACCGAGACCTCTTTGTTCTTCCAAAACCACACAAACTCAATTCAGATTTCAAGTAATATATTTTTGCCAAACAGGCTAAGAACATGACAATGAACCCTGACTCTTCTCTTTCCTTCACCCTGCTCTCACCCAGCTAAGGCAGTTGTCAGATCCTGTTGACTATACCTCGGGGTGACCAGAGCATCTCACAAGCCCAGCCTCTCATTGCCAGCCTTGCTGCCGCTACCCAACTCGCAGTTCTCACCTGCGAGCGTATCACTTCTCTCCTTGGTTCTTCCCAGTGTCCAGAGAGTCATATGCAGCCTGTTGGTAGTTGAATCCCCATGTCGTCTTGTCCTGGATGACTCAGCCTCGTGTCCCACAGCCTCTCAAGCCACCATTTCCTAAAACTCCATAATTTTTGTTCTTCTGGCCATTTACTTATGCCGTTCCTGCCCTGCCTGGCCATTTCTTCTCATCATTTGCCTAGAAAACCTTTTAGGGCCCAGGATAAGGGTTTTCTCCCATGTGAAGTCATCTTTGAGTCTAGAATAAATGTTGAGGGATTATGAGGAGTAGAACTTAACTACAAGTGCCTTAATGATGACTGCCATTTGTGGGGAAATTGCTGTGTGACAGTCATCATTTTGAATACTGAATACTAGAAGCAGATGGTTAAGAACACGAGCTTTGATGGCAGAGTCCCAGCTCTGCCATTCACTAGCTGTGTAACCTTGGGCAAGTTATTTACCATCTCAGCCTCTATTAAGTCTGAGGGTTCAATGTGCTTGCCATATGGGAAGTAAGCAATAAATGGTAGCTGCTGGCACTATAAACGGAAAGATGTTCATCCCTCCTAACCCCCTGGCGAGATAGTAAGTTCTATTGTCATTCCTGTTTTACAGATGGTGAGACCGAGGCTTAGGGAGGTGGGGTAATGTGCTGCTTCCCCAAATGTGGCTGTGGGCATGTGGCTTATTCATCTGTTTATTTCACAATGTCTTTAAGCTCAATAAATATTTACGGAGTTGAATTGAAAGATGAATCTGGAGCTCCTGGGTCAGATTGAGAGGGAAATTTAGAAATTGTCACCTACAGAGGGGTGGTAATTGAAGCTGTTCTTTTTTCTTTTGAGTCCTATCACCTTTGAGAGTCCACACATTTCAACCACCTCTTTACCAATGAGCCAGCTGTTGCCTTGTAACAGGAGATAATTATTACCATCAACTGTTACTTACAGTTTTTGTTAAAATTGGCTTGTATTTGTCTTCTTTCCCCAACTGAATTGTAAACTCCTTGTGGTCAGAGGACTGTACCTTATACTACTGTGCATTAAACCCTGTTCCCTCCTAGCCCTGTTTTTTGTTTCTAAGGTAACAAGTCAAATCTGGCATTTAATATTAATCTCAAAAAGGAATTCTCAGGCATTTCTAAGTGATACCGACCAACCAAGGTTATTTTATTAATCTTTCTTTACTTTCTGTTATCTGGATTAAGAAAACATTATTTTCTTCACATTTTCCAGATAAAATTTATTAAAACCGCACCTCTGCTATTTGTTACATGTCTTTCAGTCCACACCTCTGTGATCTTTAGGATTCTAATACACATTTGTATCCTCCCAAAAGTCTCCAACATAGGCTCTCCTATTCCCATTCTCTCATTTTACAGTTGAAGAAATGGAGGGCCAAGTTCCAGGTGGTTCTCCCATTTGTTATCTGACACAGTGTTCTCTAAACAGCTTGGTCAAGACTCAAGATTTTGAGGGGAATAAGAGTTTTAAATGCTTTGTACTTTTCTTTTGACAGAGCTGAAAAGCTTCAGCTGCTGAACCACAGGCCTATGACTGCTGTTGAGATCCAGCTGGTGAGTGAAGGAGGCTTGAACGTGAGAGGATTGGTTTCTGGGTCTGAGAGGGAGGAAGGGTGATAAAGGCTGAGAACGGACAAGACTGGAACTGCCATTTCTTGAAAAGACTGCCCAAATACCCTATTTTATAAGTGAAAGGAGACCTCACCAGTTGGATCCTATTTAGTATGGACTTAGTGAAAGTAGAAGACTGGACGAAATTTAATTCTTTCCTTCGGGTTTGGGCCTGTGACTTGGCAGCTCTTTGTCTCCCTTGATGTCCTACCCCATTCTGACCACTGCTTTCCTGTAGGAGTTATTGCCAACCAGATGTTGCATAAAAACAATAGACTCACCATGACTCTGGCAGAATTTCTCTTCCCCGACTCCCACCCTTCGATCCCACTCTTCCTGTTTCTGTTCTTGGTTCACGGAGCACATGTGTACCTTCCCCACATGCTCTCTTTCTCTCTCAGCCTCCTGGCCCAGTCTCCCAAGCCAGAAGCCTAGAAGACATTCTCTCCCTTTGATTCCATATACACTTTGTCCCCAGGTTCCATTGCTCCTGTCTTGTTCTCTCTTCTCTCCCTCCGGCACTGTGTTAATTTCTGTCATTTCTCAGTGCGGCTCTTGGAGTCGTTCTCTCATCTTCCCTGCCTCAGCCTGCCCCCTCCAACCCACCTTCTACATCACTGTTTTTTTTTTTTTA